GAACTTGATTCTGGAAATAAGATCAAGTGTTTCAGAACAGATAATAGAGGAGAATACACAAGCGAAGAATTTGATGACTTTTGCAGGAAATAATACATCAAAAGACAGTTCACAGTGGTGAACACTCCTCAACAAAATGGAGTGGCAGAGCGGATGAACAGAACCTTGTTAGAAAGAACAAGAGCAATGTTGAGAGACGCAGGCCTAGAAAAATCATTCTGGGCAGAAGCAGTCAATACCGCCTGTTATTTGGTGGATCGAGCTCCATCAACTGCAATAGAGCTGAAGACACCAATAGAGATGTGGACTAGTAAACCAGTTGATTATTCAAACCTCCATGTATTTGGAAGTATTGTGTACGTGATGTGCAACGCCTAAGAAATTTCAAAGTTGGATCCAAAATCCAGAAAATACAAATTCTTAGGGTATGCTGATGGAGTAAAGGGGTATCGCTTGTGGGATCCCACTGCCCGCAAAGTGATCATTAGCAGGGATGTTATCTTTGTAGAAGATAAACTACAAAGAAAAGAAGACGATGATAGCGCTGAAAAGTCAGAGACTACTCAGATACATGTGGAAAAAGAGTTTGAAGAAGGAGATTCTTCTGAAGTAGAACCAGCACATGACGAACAAGAACCAGAGAGTTCTGAAGCTCCAACAACTCGTCAATCAGATCATGTGAGAAGACGTCCCAATTGGCACTCAGATTATGTTATAGAAGGTAATATTGCATACTACCTTTTAACAGAGGACGGTGAGCCATCAACATACCAGGAGGCAATAAACAACTCAGATGCTTCACTGTGGATGATGGCGATGCAAGAAGAAATCGAAGCCCTTCATAAAAATAATACATGGGACCTTGTGCCACTACCACAAGGAATGAAGGCAATTGGTAACAAATGGGTTTTCAAAATCAAGCAAAATGGTGACGATCAAGTGGAGAGGTATCGTGCAAGACTGGTGGTCAAAGGATATGCTCAGAAAGAATGTATTGATTTCAATGAAATTTTTTCTCCTGTGGTTCGACTAACAACAGTTCGAGTAGTCTTGGCAATGTGTGCTACATTGAATTTACATCTAGAACAGCTAGATGTTAAAACAACTTTTCTTCATGGAAATCTTGAAGAAGAGATTTATATGCTTCAGCCTGAAGGTTTTGAAGAAGACGAAAAGAAGAACTTGGTTTGCAGGTTGAACAAATCTCTGTACGGTCTAAAGCAGGCGCCGAGGTGTTGGTATAAGAGATTTGATTCCTTCATTATGTGCCTTGGATACAACAGACTTAATGCAGACCCTTGTGCTTATTTCAAGAGGTCTGGTGATAATGATTTTGTTATATTGCTATAGTATGTGGATGACATGTTGGTTTCAGGACCCAATAAAGATCATAATGAAAATTTGAAGGCACAACTGGCTAGGGAATTTGAAATGAAGGACTTGGGATCAGCAAACAAGATTCTAGGGATGCAAATTCACCGAGACAGAAGTAATAGGAAGATTTGGCTTTCACAAAAGAATTACTTGAAGGAAGATCTTGTCACGATTCAACATGCAAGATTGTAAGCCAATTTCTACCCCTCTTCCTATTAACTTCAAATTATCCTCCAGTATGAGTCCTAGCAGTGAAGAAGAGAGGATGGAGATGTCTCGAGTACCGTATGCATCAGTAGTGGGAATTTTAATGTTCTCTATGATATGCACAAGATCAGACATTGCACAAGTAGTGGGAGTGGTTAGTCGGTACATGGCGAATCCAGGCAAAGAGCATTGGAATACAGTAAAGAGGATCCTAAGATACATCAAAGGGATCTCAAATGTTGCATTATATTACAGAGGATCAAACTTACTTATCAATGGGTATGTTGATTCTGACTATGCAGGGGATTTGGATAAAAGCAAATCTACTACAGGATATGTGTTCAAAGTTGCTGGTGGAGCTGTAAGCTGGGTTTCAAAATTGCAGTCAGTTGTGGCTACATCCACAACAGAGGCAGAATATGTAGCAGCTACACAAGTCAGTAAAAAAGCAATTTGGTTGAAGATGTTATTGGAGGAGCTTGGGCACAATAAAGAGAATGTTTCTCTTTTTTGTGACAGTCAAAGCGCCTTGCATCTAGCAAGGAATCCAGCATTTCATTCAAGGACAAAACACATACGAGTTCAGTACCACTTCATTCGTGAAAAGGTAGAAGAAGGAACAGTGGATATGCAGAAGATCCATACCAAAGACAACATAGCAGATTTCATGACAAAGGCGATCAACGCTAATAAATTTACTTGGTGTCGATCATCGTGTGGCCTGTCATAGACGTAAGCAACATGATGGTACAAGGTAGAAAGAATGATATGAAGATATGATTGTTCCAATCAAATCTTCAAGTGGGAGATTGTTGAAAGTCAAATTGCACAAAATCAATTTTGATGGCTTTGCACATGGCAAATTTGGTCGCTTTCAGTGGAATTAAATGGATGCAGCATTTGTTGATTTTTTCAACAATGGTAAAACCTCAATTTTAGCTATTATAATTTAGGGTATTTACAAATTAGTCCTTAGAGCTTTAACTATAAATACCCTAGCTCATTTAGCTTCAAAACCATCCCAAAGCATTATAGCTTTCTTCCAATACTAGAGAGATTTTAGAGAGTTTCTTGAGAGTTGTTTTTTCCTTTTTATCTAGAGAGAATTATCATTGTTTTCTCCTTGGTAGATCGAGAGAGGTTGTAATTCCTATTTTCTCATAGTGAAATTCTTCTACCGTTGCCCGTAGTTTTTACCATAAATTTTTAGGGGGTTTTCACGTAAATTTTGTGTCTCTTTTATCTTCATTTTTATTTTCTCAAATTATCAGTTGCGATTTTGATCTATCCGATAGCCGTCTTCCGCAACACGCATGAATTTATATCAGAGATTATAAAAAATAAGAAGGCTATATAAGTAAGGTATTGGAGTTCATCGATTCTACATTCAAATTCAACTTTTACTCTCATAGAATCTCATACTCTACCTCATTCTGACTCACCAATTTTCTAATAGGAAAGTATGATGCTTTTTTGCAGGGTTGGAGAATATCGGACCCTTCACACAAACTGACTATGGAGTCAAAGTTTATGTTTTCTTCAACACTTTCACCCTTCAAAATCACCTTCAGTATCTCAGCTCTCTCCCTGTGGTCCCGTGGTACAATCTCAAAAGCCTGAGGATGGCTTCATCTAGTTCAGATGGCCGATATGTTACAGTAAGAACCATAACTCGGGCATTCTCTGCACAACAATATACAAGTATTCACTCCTATATTATAATTTAAAAACTATCCCTATTACATTCTAGATAACCCTTCATCACAAAACCCGAAGGACGGTACTTTGAATTGGATTGATAACAGTATATAATAACTTATTGGCACAAAAATACTCACGATCAGTGGTAAACCCATCCCTTAATGCCATTCATGATATGTATTACGACGCTGACCCAGAAAACTATCAACCTCAAGAATAAATATAATGGCAGGCTGAAGTTTATATGCCAAGCTGAACACTGCAGCCACTGCAAAAATAGAAGAGGAAACACAAAATACGATATAAGACGCATAAAATAAATATTTTTTTAAATAAATAAGTAATTTTATTCAAAATAAGAAATGTTTTAAATTACAACAAAGATTTACAATCATAATCGTAAATTAAACACATAATTAGAACAATTTCCTATAATAATTGAAACAAAACTAGCAACTTAAAATCACATCAGTACCATACAGGGAAAGATTAAAATCTAACCAAGAAAACTCGAACAAAGATATAGATACAAAACATATATAGATACAAACATATATGATCGTATCGGCAAACGAACCACAAAAGGGGATCAAACTACTGAAAGACTACCGACAAACTGCAAATCAGACTTGAGCAACGTGAAAAGCTATCAACGAAAGCATAACGGGTATCTAAATCCAATCTGATGATCCAAAGCAGGGTGTATAAATAATATATCATATAAATGTCATCTTATCAGTCATGGCGATGTCTAATCAATTCTTAGAAAAATATAAATGAAAACAACAGTCAAACGATAAAAAAACATGCCAAAAGGCAGAGGAAAACGTGTTATACAGACAAACTTATTGGAAAAAAAGAAAATAAAAGGACAATAAAAAATAATGATGGTCGATAAACAATATTAAAATTGATACCTCCATTGATGAATAAAAAAAAAGATGAACGGCTTATCGATGATAAGTTTAAAACTTACAACACAACGCTAAAATAAATAGACTTAAATGGGGCCTTTAATCTAATAGAAAATGCTTGTTGAAAAACTGTTTAATTGATAAGCACTAGTTACTATACTACTACTTACATATACCATGATAATTTTTTGTCATAAAAATTTCAGGGTAATAATTTTAAAAAATGCGGGCCATGAATTAAAAAAAACACAAATTCTCTTACATTTCCATAAGAGTAAAACGTAATAGAATAAATAAATAAAAGAACAGCAAACTATTGAGAAAAAAAGATGAAAAATATATCATAAAGATAAAAAAACTATAATAAAGATATAATTATTCTTATTAAATAAAAAAATAAAAAGATAAAAAACCGAAGATTACCTATCAATATCAAAGTAAGTACTACCACTAATTACACAAATAAAAAAAGAAAAATTGATCCGATATATTAAACAGAGGAGGGAGGGGAGGAGCGCCTAAGACTCTACCTTACACTATTATAAAATTTAAGTTATGATATTAGTTGAGAAAATTATTAAATCCTAATATTAATATAATTTTAAAATAATTTAATGTTAAGTTAATAAATTGTTAAATTTAAAAATTAAATGTTAATTTATTTATAAACAAAAATTTTAACTTTCGAAAATTTGGCCAAAATTTCAAGACCAATGGGCTACTTCGGCCAATAATTTCAAGGCTCAAGGGCCTGGGCCTCCTCCACGGCGTTTACATTGGAAGCTTTCAGTCAATAAGATCTTGACTAGACCAGTAACGTAGATGACACGCGCCACCGGGAAAGCGTGATGGAATCATAATGTTGTAGATGAAGTTGCCGTATAAATGGCGGGACTCTAGGCTGGGTAGAGATTTCACGAAGGCACAACCATCTTTCCCTCTCGTAATTGGCGTTTAAATCTAAAAAAAACACAATCTCAAAATTATCCAAAAAACCCTCCAATCCTTAAACCCTAACCCAGCGTCCCCCATTTTTGTTATCTCTTTTACCTTATTACCTCCTCCTCCTAAATTCTTCAGTTCTAGGGTTTTGGTTTATTTCATCGTCGGAAAACATTTATTTATTTATTTTTCTTTTCTTCCACTGTTTTCGTGTCTGCTTTTCTGCAGATAGAGAAAGTGGGAGAGTTGGAGCATTGTGAGACATTCTGATTCAATGGAGGTCGCGGCTAGTGTCTCCGCTGGACGGAGTGGTTCGCTGCCGATGACATCACCATCTCGGAAGGAGTGGCGTGCCGTTTCCGAACTTCAAGTGGTTCAAAACCTCGGGGTTGAAGTGGTGATTTACATCTAACCATGATAACTTTTGCTTTCCATTTTATCTGGTTTATGAGAAAATTATTGAAATGCGGATAAATTCTGTTTCGAATATGAAATTCCTAATTGTCTTGAGATTAGAAAAAAGGACAAGTACCTGCACTAATTTAATGTAACAACCACTATTTGCCTATTTGGTATTCTCCACTGTTCCCTATGAGCTAAAAAATTAGGGGTTGTCTTTTCTTTTTTCCTAATCTTTTAGGGTTAATTTGTTTACATTTCAACGGTATATCCTTTGATTATTCATCATTAATAGGTACTTATTTTACCCTTTCTGCAGAAGTTTTTCATTAATATAATTTATTTAGCTCACTTTGGTGTCAAGTTGTGGTTTGTTGGTTGTTAAATAACTCGGAATCTGAATTTGGTTTAAACTGTTTTAAGTGTTTCCTTCATCCCAAGAGTCGGAAATGTCAAGCTGTGAAGGGAAGAATCGAGCATCAAGTTAATGCCTGATTAAGCCATGAAAGATTATAATTGCTACTATTATTAGTGGGCAGTTGGTGTTGATTGTTTGTTTTATTCAGATTTCTGGCAATATTGCAGGATCTGGAAAGATCAAAGTTGGAACAATCAGATGAGAGAAACATATACCAGGTAAGTTTCATGGTACTAAAAACAAAATCCAGTTTGAGAACAATGAAATTTAAACAATGGTTGAAACCTTATCAATATGCAGCATGGAAGAGAGCCTGCTGATGTGGACTTCTTTTCTATTACGGTTGATGGAAGTTTGGATGATGGCATATTGCAGCAGCGGATTCACAGTGTTACTAAACAGAGAGAAGATCTCCAACAGATGGAGGTTGAACTCCGAGCTCAAGCAATTGCCAGACCAAGGATCCTGGATATACAGAGTAGTTGTGATGCTAAAATCAAGGCCCATGTCACTGCCACTGCTAAGCTTGAGGTTTGACTTTAGAGTGTGATTTGTATCATTATTGTTCTGAACCTCAACTTTCTGAGAAAAGAAAAAAGTATAGTTTTATATGAATGTATAATATTTTATATGATCTTTAATTTATAAAAAGGAGAAAAAAGTAATTAAGTTTCATGTGTAAGATATAAAAATTAAGAAACTTACGTCTTGAATCGACTGTTAAAGTGAGTGAATGAGTAAAATCTGCCTTTTTAATGGATTTGAATCCAAGATCTATTATTATTTTATTTTGAAATCATATATTCAACATGTCATGTTTGAAATGGTTTTTAAAACACTGATTGGATTCATTGACACTTGAAATTTTACCAAGCATGAGACAAGCAAATTCTACGCAGATGCTGTCTTTTTGCCCCTTTCAACCTGTATTTTGGCTTTATTTGTGTTAGGAGAAAATCCACGAAAGTGAAAAGACCATAAATGAATTGAAAAGGAAGATGGAAGAGAAAGATAGAGAACTACACGCCATCAAAGTAGAAAGAGAAGAGGTCTGTTGATTTGTTCATTCTGCTTTTGGAAATTCTCTTCTTTCAAAATAGTGGTCTTTTCAGTCATGTATAAATTAATGCTCCTTGATTAAAGTGGCAGGCCTGGGCAAAGGAAGACCTTCTCAGGGAGCAAAATAAGGAGCTGGCAACCTTCAGGTGTGTGTGTCTTTTGGATCTTCTTTATTTATTGTAAACATAAACCTTAAAGCAGTACTATTGATGTGTACCACTGAAAGTTTCTAAACTTATCCAAGGGTTGAGTTAATATATTAGCTTATATTTGTCTGTGAACAATATTTCCTAATAATTAGCAACAGCAGTTATCGGTGATTGTTTTTTAATATATTAAACTAGCTTCTGAGGTTCGAATGTTCTGAAATTGAGATGGGTTCCTGTTCTTTTTCTTTTGGCAGAAGAGAACGTGATCATTCAGAAGCTGAGAGAGCTCAACACCTGAAACAGATTCATGATCTTCAAGAGCACATTCAAGAGAAAGAGAGGCAGCTTACTGAGCTGCAGGAACAGGTACATATTTTTTAATGTATATTTTCTTAATTTTCAGTCCCGGAGGTTAAATTGTGAATATTTTGCTTCACTGTGAAATAGAACAAGCAACCCTAAGTAACAATAATCAATGATTGTAGGCGTAGCAGTCTTGAATATTGATTGTATCAAGTAAAAGTTCTCAATACCAAGAATGTCAATTATCAAAACCTGATCTAATTTCCAAACAGAGTAGGCCTACCATACACCACTGGTTTAAGTCCATGAGAAATTAAATCGTAGCTAACCCAGATAAAGACTAATAAAAATAAAATAAACCAAAAAAATGAGTTCACTAATAATTTAAATCCTGTTTTCTAAATTTACATCTAAAATAGATATTCTTCCAGGACTTGGAAGAATCTTCTCTGTCTTCCACCTGGTTGAAAAGAACTCTACACTGAAGAGAACAAATTACAATATTTATTTTCATGCAACGTAATTTACAAGAATGGTATTTTTCTGTTGAAAATGGTATTCATGCAACAATTTCAATCAACTGTATTATTGTTTGCCCTAATGATAGTTAAGTTTCTTCTTCAGCATAGGGCTGCTCAGGAAGCCATTCTTTATAAGGATGAACAATTGAGGGAGGCTCAGACTTGGATTTCTCGTGTCCAGGAGATGGATGCTTTACAGTCAAATACAAATCACTCCTTACAGGCTGAACTGCGAGAACGCACAGAGCAGTATAACCAGCTCTGGCATGGCTGTCAGAGACAGGTTGATGAGCTTTTAGTTTCTTTTTTGTACTTCCCTTGAATAACTAGATTTGATGCAATTTTCGGAGAATTTGGATTGACCCTTTTCCTGGTTGTTTTAGTTTGCGGAGATGGAGAGACTTCATTTACATACAATACATCAGCTCCAGCTGGCTGCTGCAAGAACGAGGAACAGTTCTTACACTGATGAATCACATGCATCCCAAGCAAAACCAGAAAATTTCTCTCAGTTTGGTAAAAATGATGGAAACCAAGTGGATTCAAATGGAAGTGTTTCAACAAACAATGCATGGGCCATTTCAAATGATGCTTCAGACAGTGTTCAGTCATTTACTTCAGATGGTAATGTGCCAACAGAGGTAAGACTGCTGGTGTTTCCAACGTGGCATTGCCTAGATTGTGTTTGAATCAGAGATTTAATATTTATAAAAATCTTTATAGTGATTATAGCTGTATGCTTTTCTTCATATGGTAAGTATTTCTTTGGAAAAATCTCATATAGCGGAATCTTTAGTTATACTAAAGTTGTGGGTATATACTCACCTCCCTTCCACTTTGTACAGTCCATCTAGTAGTGGTTTGAGATGGTGCAAGTAATCTCATTTTAGAAAATCTTAGTTGTAAAGTTTGGGGCTCTTTGAAAATAGCCACTTTCTATTAGGTTTTAATTGTTTTTTTAATTATCAGAATCATGATGGCCATATTCCGATTGTTCCAATTGCTCCATCATCTCTACATGGGATGCCTTCATACCTCCCACCTGGGCAGGTGACTGCTCTGCATTCATTTGTAATGCATCAACAGGGTTTTCCCCATTCTGTGGCATCTCATGGTGGACAGTACTCAATGCCAACAATTTTGTCCCACCAACAGTGGCAGAACCAACAGGTATTGTCAAACCAATGCTTTATCAATTTTGTCCCTGGGTTTCTTTGTTATGTATAAAGGTTTGACATCATATTTTTCAGATGTCATCAGAAGCTTTCCAGATATCTGCTCAGAATCAACTTCCACCATCCCAAACTGATCAAAGCTTTGGGAGGTCAGACTTGAAGCATGAATATGAAATGTCTGTCAATGAACAAGCTGTTAGTCCAGACCATCTAGATCATATTAACCAAGGGCCGGAGCTCAATTCTGTGATATCTTCATCTGCTGTGAAACCACAGGTTCTTTGAATCGAGAAGTTTCCATTCACAATACGAAGTATTGTCAGCATTTGTTCTTGTAACTTGCCTTTTTTTGCAGGTCCTTGATTCAAGTAAATCGAGTTATGTTATGAATCCCCAAACTGAGTCAAGCTTGGAGCAGGTTTCCTCACAATTTCATGATGCATTGACGTTAGCCACTCGTGAACAGAGCTCTGAATCCAAGGTTTGTTAGTTTGACTACACCTCTGGTAGTTGAATATCACGGATCTAATCTCTATTTAAATTTGAACCGGCCAGGAACTGAATATTCTGAACATGAATAGTCATGTGCTGGTGGACCAAGTTCTATCAGCAGAAGAAGCAAGTACTGATGCCAGTCCTCCTCCTCCCGATACTTGGGTGCACTCTGCTAATTTAAATGGAACAGCAACCAGCAATGGTGCTAATGCTATTTTGCCTGAAAAGTCGGTTTCAACCGGGCGGACTAATATCTTGAAATCAGCTAAACCTTCAGAGACTGCTCTGCTTGATGAAAGATCATTGTTGGCATGCATAGTTCGCACAGTTCCAACTGGTGGCAGCATTCGGATCAGCTCAACGGTTAGTTGATCTGCAATTAAGTTTTATTTAAAATCAACTTAGCTCCTGTGTTATTAAACCTAACTAATGGGGTTTTGACTTGGATCAATCAATTGCAGCTGCCAAATAGGCTAGGGAAAATGCTTGCACCATTTCACTGGCATGATTACAAGAAAAAGTATGGGAAGTTGGATGACTTTGTAGCTAGCCACCCTAAGGTTTCTTGCAACTTTTTACTTATTTGTTGTTGGCCTGGGGGTTATATTTTCTGAAGGTTTCATAATGTGATTGCTATGTGATTTCAGTTATTTGTTATTGAGGGTGATTATATTCGGCTTCAAGAGGGAGCACAAGAGATGATAGCAGCCACTGCTGCTGTTGCTAAAGTTGCTGCAGCTGCTGGAGCATCATCTTCAGACTCCTTTTTGCCTTCTGTTGCTGTTACACCGATTGCACAGCCTAATCGGCTAAACAAGGCACTTCGATCAAGTGATTCCAACCATGTGTCTGGAGCTTTCTCCAAAGTAAAAAACTTGAGCCAAGGTAAAGATCCTGCTGAAAGTAATGGGTCAAATTTGGAGAGATCAAGTGTGACTAGTGTTGAAAGCAAGGCTTCTGGATATGGAAGATCTAATTCAAAGGTCGTTGGAAAACAGCATGGCAGGTATGTAAAATCCTGCAGATAAACGTCATTTATTAGCAGATTCTTTATGGCTCAAACCTATTGAGTTTGATCGTCTTGTAATGTGACAGGACAACCAGGGCTGCGTTTTCTTCAAGAAGATAGTGAGTGCATTCATCTCAATTGCCCATTATTGTTTAATCATTGTGTTATACGTGAATTCCCTATTCTACTATTGCCCTTTCATCCTCTGACTCATTTTGTTTGAATTACCGGTGTCCGACACTGATGTCCAAATTATATCTAGAGACCGAGTATGGATATATAATCCTAGAAGAATTTGAACAAACCTATATCAAACATTCACACTCGAGTCCGAATAGCTTAGCTTTCACCGACGATCCTAATTATCTAATATCATCGTTTAACTAAATAATGATCTGTTTTTGTTCTGGCAGGATATTATGACGAACTGCAAAATTCAGCTGTTTTAAGCCTTTTGGGGTATGGTTTTGTAGTTAAAATGCATATCCTGATCTTTAGATACAATTTACTACCATTTGAACTCTTTTAAGCCTTTTGGCACTCCATTGTTTGAATAGCACTATTCTACTGCCTGTTTTATCATGGTTAACCTCTGTTGCTCCAACTTTTTTTTTTCTTGGGAAATATTCATATCTGGCATTCTGTTTGACTCATATTTGAATTTCTTTATGAGCATCCAATTTTGAATACGGGTTTCATTAGTTATATAGAGTTTATTTAAATTGTGATTAACCGAAGTATAAATCAATAAAATCTTAAAAATAACTGGTTTGGTCTATTTACAAGATCTATATTCCAAGGTATGGTTGCTAGTGGGAAAGGATTCGCACGTTTATTACCGGATTAATCTTATGATATTCAAATTAGACCCTGAATTTAATGCTTGCTATACTATGACTCCATTCACATGAAAAATTATATTATGAAATTGCAAGTTAATATAAGAGTAAAGTTGTACTTCGGCCCAAAAGATTAACCTTCAACTTTGGTTTATACTTTATAGTCCTAATCTCTGACCTAGAGTTTTTAGAAGTTTTCTAAATTTAGGTTTCATTGGAAGTTTTTTTATCCTATTTTAAATTAGGCCCTTAAAGTATATACCTTCTTTACTTTGGTACTTAAATTTTTTATCCTCTTTTAATGCCTCAAAGTGTAGTTTAGTGCAAAAGTTGGTATATAATAGTTGTGTTTTTTATTAAAAATAACGAGAAACTATTTAAATGGTCATTTTCATTTTATAAACATTTGTTTTTCCTCACCGGATTAAAAGAATGTGATGTTATAGATCATTTACGTTATCTTTATATGATTTTTTTTATCATTTATATTATTGATTTATAATATTTTGATTATTGAGTTAAATGTTTTTAATTTGATGACATGTTATTAAATCAAAAATATTATTCGTATGAATATGTCATGTTATCAAATTAATTATATTTATTATTTCAGTAATAAAAATGTTATAAATATAAATTATAAGTGATCAAAGATAATAAACTTATAATGTAGGGATAAACCTACCATTGTGATTAAATAATCAATATTTTGAAAATTTTCACTTGAAATCCGTAAAGCACAGAATCTCGGATATGACTACACTGCACAAAAGATTCGTCTATTTTAGTCATCAGTTGGTTAGAACAATTCTGGGTTTTGGCAACATTCAGTCTTAGAAAATGCACTGTAATATGCAACATAAAGTACTACATTCATGTCTTTAAAATCCCATATAACTGTACAAGTTAAAACAAAACAACAATGCACTTAAACCACTGTGATTAACATTAAGCCCGAAAGTATCTCGAAAGTGTCGATGTATCAATGACATGTGGGCGCATACATCTATTGGTAGCTTGATCAGTCTCGGAGAAAAGAAACAAGCAAGGATGATTCAGCTTGATGATTCAGTGTGTTGTGGTGCGAGGAGCACGGCGGCGAATTGGTGTCTTTGAAGGAGCTACCCTTCATGTGTAACAGGCAAATAATCCCATGAAATTACGGAAGATTTCGGATTTTACAATTCGAAAAATTGCAGACTAAAAAGGCTCACAAACCAACCTTATTGGCAATAATCCCAGAACTGCACCACTGCAGTTGAGAGCTGCAATGGCACTCTCAGCCTGCAGATAGTGAAAATAGAGCATAAACATCATCCTTGCAAAAATTATGTGAACTCTGGCAAGCAAGTTCCAGTTGCTTCAGCAAATCGATAATTTAATATATACCAAAAAATTAGATATTACAACCGTATCAGTAAATAAGGTTAACAAATAAGCAAATACCGTAGTGAACTCAAGAAAAGCACTGTGAGTTGAATGATGAGAGTCTTTCACTAGCCTCAAACGTTGAACCTAACATAAAGAGCAAATGTTCAGTACGAACTCATTAAGTTCAACATGAGAAATATCTTCATCGGAGCTGGTCAAGAACATAATAAGTCATGTGTCTAAAATAATGATGTAATATGTGTCATATTATCGCTTATGTATATGTGTCACGTCATCAATTATATACATGTAACATGTGTCATGTTTTCACTTTCAACAAGTGGCATATGCTAATAGTAGAGTATCACTTATATACACGTAGCATGTGTCATATAATCATTTACGTACATATGACATGTGTCGCTTCATCACTTATATACACGTGACATATGTCACATCATCACCTTAGACACATAGAATTTCCATGTCAACGAAGAGAATTGATTGTTAGTCAATTAATGGTTTTCATCTGATTATAGGCCATCTCAAAATAAAATAGTATATGCTAAAATGTAAAAAAAAAAAATCAAAGTGACTATTTTATCGAAAGTTAATAACATTTTCTATATTTTATCTTTGTAAAATAGGTCACGTGGGAAACAACAAACCTTTCCACAAAAAAATTCGAAGAAGAGCTTGACGCCAGGTTGAGTAACCTGCATCAGTTCAACAAACAAGCCAGGTCCAGTTACGTCGATCACACTTGCATTCAAGAAAAAATAAGAGACATTAGAAACTACCTTCTTGTGTATGTTTGTACAGTAAACAGTCCTTGAACACATCTCTCGCTCGTCCTCCGACTGGAGATCATAAAAACAATCAAAGATGAGTAACTAAAACAGATTGAACTGTGAATGGAATTTGTTCATCATATCCATGCTTTACCCTGGGCAAATATGTTGGGTTAACAGGTGCAATTGCAGTCTTGGAAGGCAGCACTTTCAAAGAGTAAAACCCGAGAATGGTTCCGGACAAATTCAAAGCAGTGTTAGCGTCCTCTGCGAAAACATTGAATCATTGATGCTGTGGAACGATGGAAGATATCAATGGTTAGTTACCAAATTCATAAGATGTTTGTAATACCTTCATTATAGAACTCGACGAAGGCGAATCGGAGAACTGTAATATGATCACTACATATGCGACAATCAACAATCTATGGATCAAAACAAGAATGAAGTTAATCTCAGGGGAATAATCCAACACTTAAGTTTGTTGAACTGAAATTTTTTCATTAAATTGGAGGGATAAACGATACCGGTCCACAACTCAGAAAGAGACCAGCAAGAAGCTCCTCAGTAACCTATATAACAAGCACTATCAATCAGTAAGATTTTCACTATATACCGGTTTTTTTTCCTGTCCTTTCCATACATGTAGATGATTTGGAGGATCATATCTGCAAACCCGAGGTCCAGTTCAATAAAAATGAAAAGTCGAAGCAACATAGATCGCACCAGTACGCAAACAAAATGAAACAGGTACATATCCAACCTGGATATATCAAGTTTTTCTAAGCTTTTAACATGCATTGAATATGAGGATTCCAGCCAAAACGAACATAAATCGAATTTTTTCATGCATTTGAAGGTTCCTTAGAATATCATATCTCGAAATTCATATTCAAACATAACTTAAATATAAGTAGGTCAATAAAAATGATCAAAACAGAAGTGTGAAAACATATTCACCTGATAATCAACACCAGTAACATAAACAGTGTTCCTAATAGCATCAACTCCCTGACCAATGCTTGTTTTCTTGTTCAACATTATCTTCCCTTGATTATACTTATCATTCCTCTTCTGATTGAAAAAGAACAAGAGAAGATCAATAAAAACAACCGAATATAACTTTTATATATATATATATATATATATATATATATATAGGTTCATAGAATCAAATGGAATTTGGCCCAGAAAGTAAAATATACCTTTCCATTTCCAGAAAATCGATTCTCTTTAAAATTCTGATTATTAGCAAGGGAAGGGGGTCTGAATTCCTCAGCCGTGGGGTTAAGCTTAGACAACATCTCAGCCAAATCACTCATTCCTTTCTTCAAAATTTCATCATTTCCCCCATTTTCGACATTGCTAAGCTCAATAAGCATTTGCTGTTGATTCTTCTCAGCCGAACCGCCATCGCCATTACCGTTGACAGGTGGTGCTGGTTTTTCTTCTTCGGACTTACCTTCCGTAGTGTTCTCCACATTTCGACCCGATGACCCGACTTTCGCCCCGGAATTCTCAGCAACCGCCATTATCAAATGCTCTTCAGATTACTCTGTAAACAAAGAAATGCTAATCAACTGGTGAAAACAAAGTACAAGGCTTTGTTTTTGGCTTGTGTTTTATGTTCGTGTATATACCCGTATAAATACTGCGTTGCTGTACCAAAGGATACAGCCATCTTTTCAACGTGATAGTAGAGGGAAAAATCTACATTATTTTAAATGTTCATGCAATAGATGGTAGAGGGAAAAATCTTCTTCACGACAAAACCAAACCAAGACCACTAGAACCCCGTCTCATCGTCTTTCAGAGTTATTGATAATTTTATGTCAACATAATATATTAAACTATGGATGGATGGTAATTTAGATATTTAATTTATTTGTTAAATTTAAATAATATTAAATTCACGTGTAAATTTAAAAGAAATATAATTGATAATTAAATATTTATTATTTAAATCTACATTATTTGTTAATATAAATTTCATGTTCATGGCTCTTTGTTAATATTGTTAATATTTAATTTATTTGTTAATATTGTTTCTAGTGAAAATGTCAATATCGGTCACGTGTCCATCGTGCCATTACATGTTTTGTTTTCTTAATAATAATTGTAAGAATAGTTGGAAAAATATCAAAAAATCTTAGGATAAACTATATTTTAGTACTTAAACTATATTTTTTTGTTCTATTTTAGTATCTAAACTTTATTTTTTTTAAATCAATCTAACGGTTAATTTGGTACTCGCTGTTAAAAATGTAACGACATCAATGACGTGGAATTTACATTACAAGACACGTCGAATATAAAAAAAGGGAAGGGTAAATTACACGCTTAGTATATAAACTATCATTTTTATTATGTTTTAGTACATAAACTTTATTTTTTTAAAAAGAAATAATACCAAAAATAACCCTAACGTTTACTAAAATAGTTATTTGGGCCCTTATTCATTTTTTGGAACGTTTTGGCCCCCAACGTTTCCCTTTAGGGAAAAAAGCTTAATCTATAGATGAAAATCATTAGTTAACACATTATTAACGCTCTAAAATATGAGTCTTTTTAACCTAAAATGAAATATTGAGGGATAAAATGCCCTCCGAAAAAAGAACAAGGTACAAAGTAATTATTTTATCAAACATTAAGTATGATTTCGAGTACTAAACATGTAATTTACCCAAACGAGAATAATTTCATGTTATCATTGTCGCTCAATTTTTAATGACGATATGTCAAATTAAAATCTAAATTAAACATTAGATATGATTTTTAAAACAATAAAATTTAAGTATTAAACATATAATTTACCAAAAATGTTATTCTACGTGTATGAACACATGGAAAGTATTCAAATTGTTTCTGTTTTTTTTCTCATTTAACTCAAAAGAAACACTTGTCCCCTCACCAAGCTGAGGAGGCCTTTGGGGGGTTTAGGATAAGAGTTGGATGATGTGGTCCAATGCATTTTTCAAGTGGAAATTAGTTTGATAATTTTATATAACTGATATAGTTGTAAAATATGAACAAAATGATTTAAAAAATTATAAAAGTTTTAGGATAAGGAGGAGTTGGATGATGTGGTCCCAATAGATCGAGTATGATGTCTGTCGAATTGTATGAGTATTCATTGTCAATTGTTTAGGGTATTTTAAACATATATTATCTTGTATCTACAAATTAAAAAGAAAAGAAAAGAATGATTATAGATCGAGTAAGATCGGATTATCAATCAGTTTGATTTTGACCCGAGTGGTATACTCCTCCACTTGATTCAATTCAGGTTTGGAAATGTTTTACCCGTTTTGAATTTGACCTAATTTCTAATGATAAAATTTGTCTTTGACTCGATCCGACAAAAAATAAAAAAAATCCTATTTTTATTCAGTAAAACAATGAAATAATTGAAAAATATAGAGAGAACATTATAATAATTACTCTTAAATATAGAGGAAAATTATAATATTATATTGTATTGGGTTGGGTTAAATTAGAAAATTTTCATCTTAAAATAAAATCAAATTCGATTTCATCATTCACAAAACTTATGTTGGTTCAAACTTAAATTTCAAAAAATAATTTAAAAAAATCATATTATATCAAAATTTATTAAATTCAAATAATCTAATCACCCTTTATATAATCTCATAAAAAATTCACAACACATGTATATATTATGGTCTGTCCAATGATTTTAAATTGGACTGTAGATCAAACCGATAATATTTATTATTATCGATTTCTTTTTGTTATATTTAATCGAATGACTGTAATAGAAAAAATCAAATAAGCTTTAGTACTTGGGTGATGGACCTATATACATGAAATTCAGGAATTGATCTTATCCTTAATCTTTTAAATAACATGAATTCTTTTATTTTATTTGTCTAATACAGTGTTTTCATGCGTACTTAGCATCGTGGTTAATTTTTTAATGACCGGTGAATGAATTAGGAAGAAGGTGACATTAATGATGATTTTGTAAGGAAGATTAATTAGGTGAACAGAATAAGAAAGAATCAATAAATTAGTGAGTATATATAATTTATCCTAAAAGTTATTTTAGTCGGCGGATGAATCGATTCGGTGCGGCGCCTTAGTATACGGCTAAAATAAGGCGTTACTGGTTTTGTTATTATTTTAAATAACAAAACGGTAAAAAATGACCGAAAATATTATTATTTTGACCGGTTCTAATTACCTATATAGGTAAACGCAGTAAAAAGATCCGGTCAAAAATGGTGTTTTCGATAAAGCGCTACCTAAAACATCATTTTTTGATCAAATTTTTTTACCGTATTTACCTACATAAATAATTAGAACTGATCAAAATAATGATATTTTCAATACTTTTTTTTCTCAATTTTATTATTTAAAATAATAATAAAATCGATAACACCTTATTTTAGCTGTACTAAGACGCCGCACGTTTACCGTATTTCCCACATTTTTGTCACGAACTAATAATACTATCGTTATTTTTTGTCGTGAAAAAGTCAACATCGGTGGGAATTTACTTACATGATTTATTTAATTAAAAGAAAATTAAATTTCCGCCCGGCTGATGTTATATTATGGGGGTTTTAGGATAAGGAGTAGTTGAATGAATACATTTTTCAATGGAAAATTAGTTTGATAATTTTTAATTAACATAATGGTAATATGTTGTATTAGAACGAGATTAAATATTAAATATGTAATTGTAATATTAAATAGGCGTTAAAATAATCTGAAGTAATTATAAGATAATATCGATTCATAATTTTTTAATCATTTGATGGCATATGCACACTTTACAAACGCAACTTTCATACAAAGAAATTTTTAAAAAAACGATATTCCCTTCTAACACTTATCCCATTTTACGAATTCAATTTGATGATTTAAATTTCTAAATCTATCAAATAAAATATGCTTTCTTTCCAAAAAGCCGAGTTTAAGATTTGCTTTTAGAGACCTTTCATTGTGTTTATCATTTTCATACGATTTAACTAGTGTTTAATAAGTTTGAATAATTTTTATATTATTTATTATGTTTAATATCTAAAAATATATAATATTTTACAAAAATTATTAAATTTTATAAAACATTGTCTCACATCATAAAATTATTTTCGAAAAATTAATTTTAAAAAAATGTTTTATAAAATTACTTAAAAAAATATTTTCAGTAAAATAAAGATTATTAATGACAATATTAGGACTCTTGAAATTTGGAGGTCTCGAGTATGAAGCCTAAATTTATTTCAGTTCAAGTGTAAATGTGTTTTGATTTTCACTTCAATTGTATATTATAATATTATAATTTGATATGATCATTTCATTTGGATTTGACAATTCTAACTCGACACGACTTGGTCGGTCAATTTTTTATTTTAAAAATTCGAGTATGAAAAAGAATTTATGATATTTAATATAATACTATAATTATTCTTTATTTAATAAAAGTTAATTATATATATAGATGGAGTAGGATCGGGTGTGAATTCTAACCTAAAATATCATGTTGAGTTTTAGATCAGATGAGACTCTTCTAAACCCGAATCAAGTTTGGTGCAGATATAAGACTTTAATTTTTAAGGTCAAATTCACAATAACAACAATAAAACTCTATTCTCATATGCAATGGAGTAAAGGGACGTACGATAGTAGGCTGCCCCCAATGTCAGGTTGAGAACAGTTTCCATGGAAGACCTCTTGCAGTAAGAAAATTTAAAATAAAGATGAAATGCAATGCATATATTAAAATAATAATAATAAATACATAGTTGAAATTTCTTCATATGCAGTCTTCATATGCGTGTCTGTTATGGGAAGTAAATCCCTGTAAATAAATCCCTGCGTAATAATCTTTGCATATAGACAGAAAACGTACGACCTGACTAAATTTAAAAAGAGGAAACATGAAGAGAAAGATACACAGAAGTCAACGAATAGCTAGCTACGAGAAGGGATAAAGTCAAATGTGTTAAAACCTAAAACTAAGACAACATTATTCTGTTACCCTAGTTCTAGGCCATCATAAATTCCAATGACAAAAATATATTAAAAGTAGAAGTCATGAAAATTACTACAAAGACATTAAAAGAAGACAGAGATGATACACCCTATGGATGTGACCCGCATTACTCGACTATCCTTGTCTTAAGTCTCCATACTTTCCTATCAGAGGTCATGTCCTCGGTAAGGGCTAAATCCTTCAAATTAGATCTCAAGCAGTCTTTCCACTTCCGCCTTGGTCGTCCTCTCCTTCTGACACCGTCGACTGTAATCGACTCTACCCTCTTGACTGCATCCGACGGTTGTCGCCTAAGGACATGTCCAAACCACCGTAATCTTCTCTCCCTCAATTTTTCGGATACAGGCACCACCCCTAAGGACATCCTAATAGCAGAGTTTGGTGTCATGTCCCACAGAGTCCTACCACATGGCCATCGAAGCATTCTCATCTCTGTGGCCTCTATCTTCCTTAAGTGATCATTCTTGATTGCCCAATATTCTGATCCATACAGCAACGTTGGTCTTATTGCCATTCTATAAAATTTTCCCTTAAGTTTTAGAGGCACCTTCTTGTCACACAAAACTCCAGTAGCAGCTCTCCACTTTAGCCATCCCGCCTTTATACGGTGTGTAACGTCATCATCTACACCTCATCTTTATGTATCATAAACCCTAGGTACTTGAAATAATCTTTTGGGGGGAGAACGTGTTCTTCTATGCATACGTCTACATCTTCATCGTTTTGGTTTCTACTGTAGTTTGAACATAAATATTATGTCTTTTCAATATTGATCTTTAGACCTTTTTCTTCCAAAGCAATCTTATAGGCAGTCAATCTCTTATTTAACTCAGTTTTTGTTTCAGCAACTAGGATAATGTCATCAGCGAACAACATACACCATGGAACACCGTCAGATGACCCAATAATCTACATGACCTGACTCGTTATTGTTTCTAATTCGAACCGGGTTTAGGCCCGGATATAGTTCTACATGCCATTAGAAATGCACGAGCCGGATTCTACAATTGGACCGGGTTGGATCAGGTATGGTTCGAGGTTTTCCAACTTAAAAGCAAAAAAGGCTTTCGATAATCCCACCATAACATCCGCAATCTCGAATCCCTGGACGAAACGAAGAGCAACGAACTCTAGCGAGTTGGCCGAGTCATATTTGCCTAAGCAAGCGCGAGCTGAAGCCCCATCAAGCTCCGGTTTTACTCCGCTAATTGACTGTCGCCGGGTTCGGTTCTCTCTTACTAGGCTCTCAATTCTTCCCCATTGCTTACTTTTCCATATTGATTTTTTTTGAATTATCGTTTCATTTTGTTGTTTGTTCAAGTTTTGCATAATCTATTAAAAGCAAGCGCGGTAATTAATAAGAAATGGGAAAATTAGGGAAAACAATGTATTTTCGATTGGAATATTTTTCTTCAATGTAGTTGAATTAGATATACGAGTGAGGTGAAATGAAATAACGTGCCTGAAAATATTACATCATCTGGTGACACACATGCTTTGTTTATGATAGATGACAAGCGCTTGGACAAATAGGAGCTTTGCAATGATACATGGGGGGATAGTAAAGGAGTGAGAGAATCTGAGTGGAGTTTTGGGTTTTGATTTGTTCTGTTTAACAAAATGGAGAATGTTTCTCCCTTGCGAAGCTCTGGCTAAATGCTAGTGGGAGGATGAGGAGGCTGAATTAAGTTTCAAATGTTGTTCTAGCTTGTGGAACACTGCTCTCTGTTGGAGGAATTGCTCATTTGGTGTCAGCTTCATGCTTTTTGGTTTGCAATGATGCATAGAGGATATAGAAGGGAGTGGGGAAATCAGGGTGGAGTTTTGGTTTTGTTTAATGATTGGAGATTGATGTTCCTTATGCAGGCTAATTGTTCTTGGGTGCATGATGAGACTAAATTATATTTCAAATCATTTTATAGCTTGTGCAACATCCGTGAAGCAAATGAACAATGGAGCTTTTGGAGCACATCTCTCTATCGGAGGAATTGCTCACTTGGTGTGTTTCATGGCTTTTGGTTTTGCAATAACTTTTTTTTGCTTATCTTCATATTAGATGTTGATGATAATGGAACGTCTGTGTGGAGTGAAATACATTAAAGTTTTAATTGGGAATTTTCTTTCTCTATTAATTTGGTTTAGTTTTTGTGGATGCAGTGAGATATTTGTATTAACTTTTTTTCTGTTACTGGAAATGAGTGGTCGATTCTCTCGCACAATCTATGTTGGCAACCTACCCTCTGATATTAGAGAATGGGAGGTTGAAGATCTATTCTACAAGGTAGGTGTCGGATTTACTTTTCTGTCAATGCCTTTTTTATTAAGTTAAACAAATGTTACCTTTTCCTAAAGTGTTCTGAATCATTTAGTTGATTACTTGATATAATGGATTTTCTTATGCTTGTACTTGATTTTGGTGAATGTATATTGGACTTGTACTTGGATTAAATGAACCTCAGCAATAATGTAATTGGGAATCTATTTACTTTTGGTTGATTGCTAGTGTTATTTTATAACGTGTTTTTTGTTTACAGTATGGTCGTATTTTGGATATCGAATTGAAGATCCCAGTGCGCCCTCCATGTTATTGTTTTGTTGAGGTATGTCTCACCTTATATATTTTCACAGAAGATGCATGTCTAAACCATATCAATGTCTTTCATTTGTGTTTGTTTCATAGTTTGACAATTCAAGGGATGCTGAAGATGCAATCAGGGGTCGAGATGGTTATAACTTTGATGGTTGTCGTTTGAGGGTAATACTAGACTGTTATTTTTTTATGTGTATCCTGTTGTCATACAACTTTTGCTTGATCTGCTTTTCATTGTAATTGTTGTAGGTTGAGCTTGCACATGGTAGTAGAGGACAATCCTCAAGTGATCGTCGGGGTGGATATAGTGGGGGTGGATCTAAATTTGGCACCTCATGCCATTCTGAATATCGAGGTCCGTTTGGTATATTAACTGTGTTATCCTAATTAATCTATCTGGCTTTATTTGTGCTAAGAAATAGTTCTACACATTCTGTTTGTCCTGCAGTTATTGTGCGAGGACTCCCTTCTTCAGCTTCCTGGCAAGATCTGAAGGTTCAAGAACTTTTGAAACTCAAAAAGAGATCTTAGGCTTTGTTAGTTCTGCTGTAACTCTTGCCTATTTTGTGAATTCTTTGCAGGATCACATGCGGAAAGCTGGTGATGTGTGTTTTGCTGAAATTTCACGTGACAGTGATGGTATGATCTAAGGATACAAATTAATGAGGCACTTGCAGTCCATGGTTTACTTTATCTCCCTGCTGCTCCCTCAGATTCTTCTTTTTTTTTGGTTATGTTTTCTTTTGGTGTTTTCACATATATTCTTACCTTGTTCCAATTCTTTTGGCTGTAAAATAATGCTATTTGATATTCTTATCGTCTACGAGAGCACACTTATATGGGACGTTTTTTATGTTTAATGGATGTTGTTTAGAATTAAAAGATCAGTTGTTCATACTGCATCCATTTTGTATACTTGTATGGAACATCTGATTCTGATTTATAAGTGTTCTCTTTATGCATTGTATTAGTTATTGTGTCTTCATGATTTTGAATGAGTTTTCATTAATTATCTCTCTATTCATTCAGGGACTTTTGGTATTGTTGATTATACCAATTATGATGACATGAAATATGCTGTAAGTGGTTTAGAGAGAAATTTTGGCTAACTCACCATCATTTTGTTTCTTCAGTGCTTATAATTGAACTGGCTTGCTCTAACATTTTACAGATCCGTAAACTCGATGACACCGAGTTTAGAAATCCTTGGGCAAGAGCTTATATTCAGGTAACCCGGTTATGCATTATTCTACTGTTACCAATTTACTGTTACACGCTCATAATTGTTTTTGAGCTGTTAAATGATAGTTGGTCTTGAAGAATTTTGTGAATGATGACTGTTCCATTATCTATGTGGGTTGATCCTTGAAACCTTCTAATTGTTGCAAAGTTATGGTTCCTATCTATATGTTCATGCATCTGGGACTAGTGTTTGTACCTTGACAAAGTTCTAAAAACATGAATTTATATGGCCCGACCATCCCTCTATTTTTCCTTTTTACCCAACTATTCTGCACCTCAGTTCTCCAGGGAACCCTAGTGTTTGTGAAAGATCCCGTTAGGTATAATTGCAAAGGATTTCTGGTATTGTGTTCGTCACAGTTTGGAATGTATAGATCCAGCAACATTATTTGTGGAAATTGTTTATCCTTTTGTTGTTTCGGCAGTGGAATTTTCAAATTCGAGTTTCATTACGATAAACCTCTAGTGCTGATTTGTTCATCTATTTGGATAGGTGAAGAGGTATGAGAACAGTCCATCCAGGAGCCGAAGCAGAAGCCGCATCTTTAGAAGAGATCGCAGGTATAATCCCTTTTTTCCTTCTTTTTTCAATCTTTCATTTTTCCTGTAAAAAATAATTAAATGCACGTCAAGTCTCCATTTTCTTAATCCATTTTTGTTTTTTGTACTCGGTAAATCAAGGGAACGATCTGCATCCAAATCTCCAGTTAAATCCAAACCTGCCTCTCCTGTTAAGTCATCCAGGTAATTGGATCTCAACTTGCTGTTACCTTCTTGCTTTATTATCCAGTTTTGCTGTTTATCTTACCTTTTGTGAAAACACTTTTCCCTCCCTTTTTTATTCATTGACTCAGAGCAAGGTCAAGGTCAAGGTCAATGCCAGGATCACCTGATAAGGTATGCTAATTCTGATTCCCTATATTTGATGCTACGGTCCTTGACTGTCTTTGGTGGCTTGTGTTTATAAGGAACATGCAAATTAGCACATTGGTGATGGTGCTTGATTCCATACTATATTAATACGTGTACTTTAGGACATGCAATGATTTTACTGTAGGGTGTATTTTAAAAGTGAAACGTAAACCAGATCTATTTTGGATGACTGGTTTGAAATTGCTCGTTTTAATCCCGTTTATGTCACCGATTATATTCTCAGGCCGAACCAGTTAATGACTGATGTGCATACATTAAGTCTGAAAATCCTGCATTGCTGGGATGAATGGAGTTTGAGGGGAAATCGTGTCCCATCATATATAAGAATAGTATTACCGGATACCGATCTAAGAAGACGATGTAGGTATTAATGGAGTTTGTGTGGTATGTTGCATGAATTTATGTAAAATTGGTGGATGATGAAACCCGGTTCTATCTTTTTTATAGTACCTTTTCTTTTCTTTTTGGTTTCAAATATCAGTCATCTTTGCTTGGTTTTTGGCCCTTAAAAAATCATGCGACTGCAATAACTTAAATGACACTTATGGGTGTGCATTATGTGGTTGTTTTATCAGTTGGGTTATATTAGTAAATTACTTTTAAAATCAAGGTTATCGATTAAGTTTAATTCAACTAATTAACTTGCTCACCTTAACACTATTATATTTTACAATGTACTTTGGGATTAATGATCTTTGATTATGTGTTGAATGATTATATTTATTTGAATTATCAAAAAGTAGAAATTTTAACACTTTGTTTTCCTTCAAGTGTTATTCATATTACCGTCTATCATTGCAGCTGTCCATTTGAATAATATAATTACAATAAGTTGGTTTAGTGGGATGAAGCATTAAATTTCTTAAGTAAGGTCAGAAGTTTGTACTTTTGCGTTTGTGAACGATATAATTACAAGAAGTTGGTTTAGTGGGAGTATCGTCCTAATAATAGGCAAGTATAAAATCCGATCTAAATTAGTTGATCAATATATTAGATACACAATTAATTGAAAAAAAACACAAACATATATTACTTGGCTTTATTTCTATATAAAGTAAACACCCAAAGCACATTATTGTAAGAATGTCAAGCTAAATTGTAACGAAAAACATTTATTCTTAAGATTCAATATTAAACTTTGACATTCTTCTCCTTCTACGAAGGTGAAAGAGATGGAATGCTTTGTTCGTGCTTGAAGAAGTTCTGAGGGTCCACCAATGTCTTCACACTCACCAACCTTCTAAAATTATTCTTAAAATATTTTAATCCCCAAATGCTAGCTTCCGCATAACTCGTGTTCCCCGATCTGTTGTTAACCCCAATATCCAAATCCCTGTAATTCACATATGCTTCTCTCGGAGATTTCGAAACATAGGGAGTCATGTCATCGTAAAATCTCCTTATCCAGTTTAAGTAGCTTTGAAAACCATCTTCTTGTCCACCAACAGTGTATATGATTTTGTACATGTTACCAGCTCTGTGTGAAAATGGAGTTGCTGTCCCTGGAATCTCATCCATTTTCCCACCATAAGGTATCAAATAAATTGAACCGTATCTTCCTCCTTCTTCGTTGAAGTACTTTGGCCAAATCTCTTCAAAAACAGACTCTGGTATGGGTTCTTTCACGTAATCTGATTTTATTTTAAACCAACTTTTGTTGGCTGCTGTCCTGTTGAGCAGATTTTCCAGATTGTTGTTTGGAAATTGACCCGTGTAGAGACCTTGAATCCAACTCGTTTCGATACAATCTTGTTTAGTGAGTCCGAGCTCGGGGAATCTTGTTCCGGTAAGCCAAATCAGTTTGTTGACCGGACCGAGAAACATCCCGGTAAAAGAAGTTTCAACTGTTTCATTTACCTTTGATATAAAGACGATAAGGATTATATCTTTTGGAAGCTTGTGCGCGATATATTGCCATCGATGGATGAGTTGAGTTGCGTTTTGTTCTATGGTTTTGGTGACGGAGAAGATAGTCACGGTTGGCGGAACCGGAACCAGCTTTAGTTTCCAATCGAGAACAATCCCGAAGCTACCTCCGCTTCCGCCTCGGATCGCCCAGAATAAATCTTCTCCCATGGATTTTCGATCGAGAATTCTTCCGTCAGCATTGATCACGTGAGCATCGATGACATTATCGGCGGCGAGACCGTATTTTCTGAAAAGTAAGCCGTACCCTCCGCCGCTCAAATGACCACCGACACCAATGGTAGGGCAAGTACCCGCTGGAAAAGCAAGCGTTCTAGTTTTCTCACTGATCCTGTAATACAGTTCACCTAATGTCGCCCCGGATTGGACCCATGCAACGCCGTTTTCAACATCGATATCGATTGATCGGAGATTAACCAAATCGATGAGAACAAACGGAACTTCAGAAACATACGAAAGACCCTCGTAATCATGGCCGCCACTTCGAGTTCTTATCTGCAACCCATGGCTTTTCGAACAGTAAATCGTTGCTTGGATATGGGATGCATGGAAAGGTGTAACGATGAGTAACGGCTTTGGGGTGGCCGCCGTGTCGAACCTGAGATTTTGAATCGAAGATTCTAAAATCGATGAATAAGAACAATTGTTTCGAGAGTAAACGAGCTTGGAAATGGAGGATGAATCGTTTGAATGATGTGAAAGGCAATGGAGGAACTGTTCGTGTGTCTGAGCTTCGGCTCTCATCAACCATGAAAACGCCAAGAAAATGGCGAAAAGTAGGGGAAAGCTTGAGTGGTAATTAAACTGAGAGAACTTCATTGTTCCGGTTCCCGGCGATGCGATTCTGCAACTCTAGTTTGTCCTATTTATACTATGTAACCGTAGAGAGAACGGTGAGCAAAACTTGACTACGTAATAAACAATTGAATTTTTATAAATTTAATTTGACTCAAAATTACTTTAAATTACAGTCAGAATTATAAAATGGAAGTTTAATAATTTAAAATTTTCTCGGAATTTTTTAGTAATTAGTAAATTAATTTTTAAGTTCGATTTGAGTTCCTCAAGTTTGCTATGTATCGCATATGAAGAAACATAAAAATTATATATGCACATCGTACATAATTATATAAAATCGTTTAAATTAGAACCAAATAATATCATGATATTCTAAATATTTACAATTAAATTTAAATATAAACTCAAACAATTCAATTTAACTTGACTTGACTCGACTTAAAAAAACTTCAAATTAATTTTAAATTATAGAACATGACTTATCCATTCGACTAATTCAATTTTTTTTTGACTTAATTCGACTTATTCAATCTAATATTTACCTTTTTCTTTTTTAAGAGACTAATGCTTCATTTACTACCTTTCAAAAGAGAGAAAAATCAAAAAATGTAAGCCTTAGTGACCAAGAATAGGAATACAATATTTAGATTAAGAGAGCGTTCAGAGTTGAATCTTTTCATTGGATTGATATATCAACCATTTAATATATAGTACTATGGTTAATGAATCGTGTCAAAGGAGGCTGTATTTTATATTGAAAAGTTGTTTGACCTTTTAACATGATATTCTTAGAAGATAAAAGTGTCGGGTTATTTTTAATTATATGGAAATTTCAGGGATGATTGGTTGTGGTAAATAGATGATTAAAATATTTTTAATTATAACATGTGCATTTGCCAAATCCTACGTATACGTACTTGTCACAATCACATTCATTGAACCAACATTGTCAAATCAACTGATGTCTCACTGTTAAAAGATGACTCGTGTAAACTACATGAATAAAGGTTTTCTAGAAGTTAGTTTGCTAGTCTAATAGTTAGTTTTGAATTCTCAACTACTCCTTAACAGCTAGGTATCCCGGGATTGACTCAAGAAAGTCGAATTAATATATAATTAATATACGGCGTTATTAGATACATTAAAAGATATTTAATAAATTTAGTTTAACGTTATCGAAAATATTAAGTAATAATAATGTAATAGGTGGAAATCATGAAGAAATATTAAAAAATTTGGCAACCGGCAAACTTAGCTTGTCAGTTTGTGTCGATACTTTATAAAAATATATTGATCCATAACAATATAACAGGTAAAAAAATGACAAAACCGGTCTATAAATGACAAAACAGGTAAAGCGCTACCGGATATATTGAAAGTGTCGATACTTTATAAAAATGTATCGATCCATAACAATATAACAGGTAAAAAATGACAAAACCGATCTATAAATGACAAAACAGGTAAAGCGCTACCAGATATATTGAAAGTGTCGATACTTTATAAAAATGTATTGATCCATAACAATATAACAGGTAAAAAAAATGACAAAATCGGTCTATAAATGACAAAACAGGTTAAACGCTACCAGATATGTTGATAGTGTCGATACTTTACTATAAGTATCGACACTTTTGGAATTTAAAAGAGAAGAAGTTATAGCTCTAATAAAGTTTCGATACTTTATAAAAATATATCGATCCATAACAATATAACAGGTAAAAATATGACAAAACCGGTCTCGAAATGACAAAACCGGTAAAGAGCTACTAGATATGTTGAAAGTGTCGATACTTTATCATAAGTATCGACGCTTTTGAAATTTAAAAGAAAAGAAGTTATAGCGCCAATAAAGTGTCGATACTTTATAAAAATGTATCGATCCTTAACAATATAATAGGTAAAAATATGACAAACTTGGTCTCTAAATGACAAAACCAGTAGTAAAAAAGTGTGATTGTGTGGTCATTTTTATTTCAGAATTTTCATTTTTTAATACAAAAAAGTTAGATATTTTAAGCAAAATCCAGTAAGAAATGAACAAAAACTTTGCAGTAACAAAAGAACAACATTAGGAAACCCACCATGTTATCAGATTCTCAAAGAACAAAAACCCAGAAACAGGTAAATTTACAATGTAACCGGTAAAAATATACTAGTTAATTAGCAAATAGGTTTACATTATGTATCGACACTCTTTAAATATGTGTCGATATTTTTTTCCCAAAATGAAAGCACAACGAGGTGCACGCATAAAGTGTCACTACATTTAAAATTGTTTCAATCCCAAAAACATCAAAACCGATAATTATAATGTAATACGTAAATTTACAATGTTACCGGTTTAAATATACATGTTTAGTTAGAAAATAGGTCAATATAAGTGATACCTATCACATTATATAAGCGCTACCTAATATATTATTGTACTTGATAATATTTTCGGTTAAATGATATAACATAACCGGTCTAAATTTTAACCGGTCACTTGTTTAACAGGTCACGCCGTTTTTTAGGCGCCACACATCAGAAGTTCCCAGGCATCCCAGACCTCCTTTGAGTATGAGCAGTCCAAGAAGAGGTGATTTATTGATTCCAGTTCAGCACCATAAAATCCACATCTAGCATCAACCATCATAGCAAACATAACAAGTCTCTCCTTAGTAGGCAACCTGTCAAGAATAATTATCCACGTAATCAGAGAGAACTTAGGGATGTGTGCAGGAAACCAAATGAGTCGATGCCATTCAACTTTGTCATTCCTTTCCCGATTATTGTCCCAGATCCAACCTCCCCTAACTTGTGACCAGTTAACATAAGTAATAAACAGACTCCTAGCCTCTTCACGCATCTTGATCATTTTCATGAGAATCCAGCTGAAGTGAGGTTTGCTTTCAACACTCCAATAGTCCTCTAGATTGAAACATTAAGCCTTGATCCAAGCAATCTATAGAGAACCTTCACTAGCCAAAATGTTTTTAACAAGTATAAGGCAACACGTTTTGTTCCAACCAGCCAAGCTCCTTAGCCTCAAACCTCCCTCTGATTTAAGTGAGCAGATTTGGTTCCAACTGACTCTAGCACCTCGAGCAGAGGAATTATTGCCCTTCCAAAAGAACCTCATACACAATCTTTTAATGTCCTGAATGAATCCCTTAGGCAGAATAAGATGCATGCTCCAGTAATTGAAAATACTAAATAAAATTGTTTTAACAAGCTTTAGCCTCCCCCCAAAACTCAATTTCATACTAGACCACTGCCTCAGCTTGTCTTTGATCCTCTCCAATAAAGCTTTACATTCTATCCCAGAGAGTTTCCGAGTCACTAAGGGTACCCCCAAATACCTAACAGGGAGTTGACCAACTCTAAAACCTATTGCTTTCTAAATCTATTCTAATTCACTCCCAGAAATTCCACAGGCATAGATCTCAGTCTTCAAAGCATTCAGCTTAAGCCTAGACAGTTCATAAAATTTATATAAAATACTTATCACTCCCATCATCGAATCCATAGATTCATGAAAAAACAATAACAAATCATCAGCAAAGCAGAGATGTGTAAGAGAGATCCTCTTACATCTTGGATGGAATCTGAATATTCCATTCCTGGCAGCAACATCAAGCAAGTTAGAAAGCACATTCATGACAATTACAAATAGGTAAGGGGATAGTGGGTCCATTTTCCTAACACCTCTAGCACCTCTAAAATAACCTACTAGGCTACCATTCAAAGCTATTGAATATCTAGGAGTTGTTACACAAGCTTTTATCCAGCCACAGAACCTAGCAGGAAGCCCCATAGCTCCAAGAACATTCAACGAAAATTCCCAGCTAATTGAATCAAATGCTTTCTGCATATCAATTTTGATTGCACACCTAGGGGAGAGGTTCTTCTTTGAATATCCTCTAACTATCTCTTGTGCTAATAATGTAATATCAACAATGCTTTTGCCCTTGACAAAAGCAGACTGGGTTGCAGAAATCATTCCAGGAAAAAACTGAGCTAGTCTAGTGACCAAGATTCTAGTGATTGTTTTGTAAACAACCTAACAACAAAAGATAGGCCTGAATTCCTTAGCCATACATACATTCAAGGACTTTGGTACTAAGACTATAGTAGTGTTATTAAAGGATGATAAAAGATAAGTAGTATGGAAAAAATACCTCACAACATTTAGGAAATCTTTATTAACAATTTCCCAAGCCACCTTAAAGAACTAGGAGGTATACCCATCAAGACCTAGGCTTTTATATTTCCCTTGCCTGAGCAAGGCTTCCTTGATTTCCTTATCTGAGACCTCACCATCTAAGACTCTCTCAGTACTAGCAGGTAAGGAATGGTTTAAGAGGTCCTTTAACCACTCAGGATGGAATCCCTTAACCGAAGGGTCAACAACACCTATTAGTTTGCTGTAAAAATCCACCAGCTCTGCAACCATACCATCAAATGTCTCAAGAAATTTCCCATTTTCATTCTTGATGACTCTAATAGTGTTTTTCTTATTTGGAGACTGAACTTTCTGGTAAAAGAACCTTGTGTTTAAGTCTCCTTCCTGTAACCAGTAAACCTTTGCTCTCTGCCTATAAAAATCTAATTCTTTCATTTCAAGATCAACTAAATCAATCTGTGTCTTTTTCTCCTCCTCTATCCCAGTTTGATTAACACCAGCAAGGTTTGAGAGCTGAATATGTTCCAGTTCAGCTCTCTTAGTAGCTACCCTAGCAGAGATGTTAGAAAAACACATCCTATTCAGCTCCTTCAAAATTGGCATTAATCTTTTCAATTTGTTAAACAGCACATGTATAGCATTATCATCACTGTGTTCCAACCAAGAGTCTTTTACACTGCTTAAAAAATTCTCATTTGCAGTCCAGCAGTTGAAAAACTTAAATGGTTTCGACTTATGGATTTGGGCCTCCTTCTGAGTCCAAAATATCCCAAGACAGTGGTCTGACACTCGAGGGCCTTGAACTCAGCAAAGGTGTTGAATTATGTTTTGATATAACAAATTTAAAGGCAAA